TAGATATGTAAAAACTATAGGAATTAATTTAAATAAAATTTGGGACCCGAAATCTTATCCAAACCCGTATTGGGCCTTAATGGGCCGAAATTGGGCCCAAGCCCATAAAACCCATTTTCTTCAATTTTTAGTAAATTTTCCATTTCTACTCATCAAAAAATGCTTATTCAAGTATGAATGACACACCAAACCAGAATCAAATTTCTTTTAACTCAACCCCTAATTTGCTTAGTCTAGGCCAAATATAATTTCTAACAATTAGTGGATTTTTCTTCAATTAAAGCGTAATTTTTTATTTCTAAATATTAATGCATGCTCAAATAAGTCAGAATCAAGTGTCAAAATATCAATTAAATGAAAGAATTAAAAACCCCCAAATTTGTTTCATCAACCCTAATCCTAATTTTTCTTAATTGAGCAATTAAATCAAAATCAAGCAATTAAACATGAAATTGACTTAAAATTAAGCATTATTATGGTGTAGGTGAGGTTAACTTACTTTTTGTGCTCCAATTAGACTCTAAAAAGGTAGATTGGTGAAGGATTTCTCTTCCTCCTCTTGTCCTCTAAATTTTTTAATTTGATCTTCGAATTTCTTTCCTTGGGATTTTTGGCTTCCCAATTAAAATTCAAGCTTCTTTCATAGATTACGGGTGTATAGAATTTATTAACAATCTTTTGGGTGATTTTTAAGTGAACATTTTGTAAGAGTTTCCTTTGTGTTTTTCAATGTTTCCTCTCCTTTTTATTTTTTTAGCATCCTATTTATATAAAAATTTTTGGAGTAATTGATCTCATCTCCACCCTTAATGTGGAAAAATCATTCAGTTGCATTTATCCTAATTTTTAGCCATTTATTCACCTTTTTAGTTACCCCTTTCACCTTGCTTATTTTTGTCCATAATTGTTACTGAAAGTCAGACTTAATTAATTCTCTAGTTTTTCCAAATTTGGGAGGAAAATAATAAATTTTGATCCTCCAAGTTTCTAGACTTTTCCGTAGCCCATTCTTTCTTAAGTCCCTCTTTTATGCAAAACCTCACCTCTAATCATTAAATTTTAGTTTTTAGGACTAATTTTTAACCCTTAACATTCTCACATAATTTAATTTGGATTATTATACTTTTAATTTTATGCAATCGAGTCCCTAATTTTATGCAATTTAGTCCTCGCTTTTAAAATTCCATTCTATACTTTTCAAAATCAATTTTATTTATATAATAAATTCAAAAATTCATTAAGGGAGTTTTATTTAAATTTTCATAATTTTTGGCCCTAATTTGAGCCTTCAATTTATTTTATTTAGTGTGAAAATTACTTTTTTTCCTATAAAAAAAATATTCCCTATACTTACTAAAATTAATTTAAATTTTATAGGCACTCTCACACATCCTATATGATTATTTTATAATCTTAAAAAAAATTTCTCATACTCTTAAGGTGTCTAATTAAATTCTTTACCTCTAAAAACATTATTCCCGCACTTAGAAAATTCAATGAAATATTCACCATATGTAGAAAAATTCATAAAATCATATAAAATAATCTAACACCCTTCTAACAATTATTCTAAATAAAAAAATATTTTTTATACACAAACAACATGCTTTAATTAATTTTCTCATACAATAACTACTATTCATATATCGAAAAATCACTAAAATATTCTTTAAGCATGGAAAACTATTTTGACCCTTCTAAATATTCTTTAAGTTTCTAATAATTATTTCTCATTCTCAAAAATATTTGTTTATTTATTTATTTTCAAATGGTTTTAATATTAAACTTTTATTACATTTCTATTTTAGCGGGTACCGTGCATTACAACATTTTATGCTTAATTTTATGAAACTTTTTTTTATTATCATAATTATGTATTCATTTTTTTTAAAAAAAATTAATGTCTATTTTGGTAGGTTGTATCCATCCGATGTTTGCTCTCGCATGATCGTTAAGACATTCCAAGAGTATGTTCATATTTCCGGATGGATGTGGAAGAAAATGAGTCCGAAGATAAAAGACTTCTACCGAAAAGAGTTTAAGGTATTAATTTATTTAATTAATTTATTATATTAATTCATATTTAAATAAAAAATAATAATATCCAAATAAATTTACTAATGAATATTATTATTTTTCTTACTGAAATCATTTACGTGAGGTATTGGATCGTGAACCTAATCCTCACGAGATTTTCTTGAGAACTCATCGGAGAAAGATTGATGATCGGTATGCCTTCGTTGATCAACGATCAAGACTTATTGGTGTAAGCTATTACTTTATAATGTTATTTCATATATATTAATTTGTAACATTATTTGACATAATTATTTACTATTATGTGTTTCACAATTATATAGGAGATCGTAGAAAGATTACTAAATGAGGAGGTTGCTAGGCGACGAGTCGGAAGGGATCGTATTGATCGACGTCAACATTAATGAGATTTTTAGGAAGATCTGTTGGTGGAGGAGATAATAAGAGAAAAAGAATGTACGGACTCGGATCACACGCATCTCACTATTACTCTAACGTCAATACAACCTCAAGCTCAACAACTTCGCGGTTCCATGCTACCGATGAGGCACGGCGAAAGAAAGTGCATGATCAAACATCCGCAAATATGATAGAGATCCAATACCTACGAGGTATTGTCACATCGCTTAAGAGTACCGTCACATCGTTGTTGGCTACAACAACCGAGTTGAAGGAGTATACTCGACAGACAACATACAATGATGGCATAGATGTAGCAGATGTTCCAGCACCATTTTCAATAAAATGGTAGTTCATTCGCCGTGCTCGAGACCGATGATGACGCCACCCAACCTCCGAGTGACGATCCCGCCAATTTCTCTTAGCTAACATGTTTTCTTGTAATAACAACAAATTTTGTACTATTTTCAAGAATTTTATAATTGAATAATATTTATTAAATTTTAATATAATTAATATTAATAATTATGAAATTTTAAAATATTATGTTTTGGATATTTAGTAGCTTTTTTAAATAGCAATTGGTTAATTTCGGATATTTAAATTGGGGTGGAAGAAAAATTGAAATCGGACGATTAGCAACGGTTTAGACCTTCGCTAATCCAAAAGAAACTGCAATGGGAAAACAACCGTTTAGCGATGGAATTATCGAGGGTTTTTTTTGCACCATCGTGAATATTCTTTCGATTTAGTACCATATTTAGCACCGTTTTTTTTTTTTTTTTTTTTTTTGCAATGGTTTAGTCCGTCGCAAAAATTTAGCGACCGGCAATCTAGTGATGGTCTTTTGAGTGTTGTAAAATCGTCGCTAATTGAAATTAACGACGGTTTTTCTGAATTAGCGATGGTCTAAACCATCGCTAATTCAGAAAAAATCTAGACCGTCGTTAATTCAATATTATTTTGTAGTGAATCAAGAAGGAAAAGTTCTCTGCAATTTATTTTTCTTTTCTTTTCTTTTCTTTTCTTTTTTTTTTTTTTTTTTGAAAACCCATCTGTATATGCTTCTACAGATCTAATGTAGGTTGTTAAATAAAAGAGTTTTGACTGGACCGAATTCATTTGTCTTAAAAAATAACAGAAGTCGTCTTTGCTTCTTTGGTTGATTCTAAGCAATGAGGATGTTGGACTACATTCATGAATAATTCTAAGGTAATAAGGATGTTGGACAACATTCATGAATAATTCTAAGGTAATAAGGATGTTGGACTAAATTCATGAATAAACATTTGGAGAATGTACGTATTAATTTCTTAGAGAGATTCTTTTTCTCTGTTGAGATTGAATCTGGTTCACGTACGTAATTTCTTTTACACATAAACAAAGTAAAGGTCTAAGTTGGGTAGTTCTGCTGGTTCGATTTGGAGGTGAAATTTTTGGATTCTAAACATCAGTTTTGAATTCTTGCGATTCAACTGGATATTTTGGACTCCGGTAGAATATATATTCCTTCTCAAATATTATGAACATAACATGCTTACCATCCTGATAAGCCTTTGAGGCTCTTGCTGCTGATTTTTGAGTTTGTATTCTTAAGCTTTGCCAAGAGGTAACCTACAATACTTTCCAGGTCAGAAATAAGGCCAACGAAATAGAGAGAGGCTGCAGATTGCTCAAATTGAAAATGACCTTATATTTCATGCTAAGACTGGTACTCCATCTTACGCAAATTACACTGTTCTGAAAAAGCCGGGATCATACCCACAAGTCAAGCAACGTTAAATAAATTTAAACTAGAGCAGAAAGCATTATTTGGTCTCTGAGCTGGATGTTTTTGCTGACCAGCTAACAAAAACAATAGTTTTCAAGAACAAAAGTACGTTACTGGTAGGTTTGAGGAAAGAACAAAGAAACTTCTAGGGTTGGATACATTAGAGCTAGTGACAAAATTAGCGAAATTTTGAATTCTACTTTTTTGTTTTAACTTTTCCATTTTTTGGTTTGCATGAATGTTGCATAGCGTACGTATGCTTGAAGCTCGCATAAAATTGCCGGTAAATCACATTCGTTAGGCAAATGCAAAAGTTGCAGTACTACTTAAGAAGTTTACAAGAAAAATAAGTGCAAAGTACTAACCAAATGTGATTAAGAAGACCAAAGACCAGCTTTCATGAAACATGTAATTATGTTAGCTTCTTCATCTTATTTATAATAATATCGACGGCAATATCTAAAATATTCTTGTACCTTGCTAAATTTGGAGAAATTTTTTATCTCAACGATGTCTATGCTGGAAATTTGAAATGTTAAGAGACATCTTAATTTTGAAATGCTGCTGGTGGAGTTCGCATATGTCTAGCAGGTAGATTCTCTGAAAGACAATCCATTATTTTTGCTTCAATCCAACATTTTTAAGCTTGTAGAGATGCTATAGATTATGATCTAAAAATTTTGTGCTGGGCTAACCAAGCCTTTAGGTGTCTCTGTTTCTAGCCAGTTTAAATATCTCTAAGACATTTATGGCAGGGAAGTAACAATAAGTTGGAGAATTGTTTTCTTGCTGCATGTTTAGTATTTCTAGATTGCATGGTGAATGGTGACAGGAACATATGTATTGACTAAATGGTGAAACATATATTAAAGTTGCTATTGAACTGATATCTCAAGATTTGCAGGAGCTTTAATTAGCGGGTTGTTCTTCTGCACCAAAGGAGATGCCATTGGTGGAGTAATGGATAATTGGTATGCTTAAATTTGCCCAAGTTCGATAGTTCAATGGACAGCTTTTTTCTTTTCTTTCTTGCATGCAGTCAGTACCATGTGATCAATGTTTGAAGAAGCAATCACTATTACCTAAATAATATACTTTTTTTTTTCCGACTTTCTATCTAGTATATATAACGTTTGTGTCCTATATTTACAGAGTTAGTGCTGCATATTTATAGTTCATAAAAGCAATTGTTTTCACCTATTTATCATTCTTGTTTTATGTCATTGAATTTTAGCCTAGAGTTATTGGATTACTGGACTCATACATAGTTAGAAGTACTCATTAGTAAAACGAAACAGCTAACTAAGTAATTACTCTTAATTTCAACCATATTATGGCAGGTGAAATTCATTCCTTGAGTAAATAAGCTAATTTTTATTGTATTTAATATAGATCAGTGAATTTTATGGGATCAAAAGAAATCCATACACCCCCTTTGTTTGCTCATCACTCTTGTAGCATATTCCTAGCTTGTATTAAATTTAACAAGATAAGATAGATATATTTAAGATGGTAATGGGTCATATAAGACCCATTAATTCGTTTTTGCATCTTATTCATAGAAATAATATTATACTCATTATCTATCACAAAATCATCATATAAATTTTTATCTAATTTATTACCATTCCTAGATATTACTATCCTGGATAGGTTTCTAAATATCATTAAAAACATGCATGTATCCAAAATTTGACAAAATGCTTAAATAGATTTGTACATATCATTAAAAAATGCATGTATCCAAAATTTGACAAAATCCTTAGCAAGGAAACATTTTTGCGTGCTTGCACCAACCCCACAGGCCACAGCAGAGACAGCAGTACCACATTCATCTAAAGTGGCTCCTATCTGTTACAGCCAACTACATCCTCTTCATGCAGTACCTGACAAAATAAAACTGCCTGATTCCATCCCCTCTTTCTCTTATGACTACCATGCTGTTGTCTCTCTCCAGCTCAACTTTCACCCTTCATTTTCACAGGCGTACAATATGTTGCATTTTGCATCTAGCTGCAGGTGATGATTAATTATTGAAATATGGTGATTAATTAGTGTTAATTTTGTTTTTTGTTTTGGCAAATAATATTATTGATGATCCTATATGTATAGGTGGTTTCAACTCAGCAGAGACAATGAAAGCAATCACAGCAGCAGCAGCAACATTGTTTTTGATTCCACAGAATGTTATGCTTGCACTCAGGTTGGCGTCCCTGTCTTTCACTCCACAAGCTGTGACCGTGCCCACCAACCGGAATGGCAGGCCTTGGCCGGATCCTCCCTCATGCCCATCCATGCCAGATCCGACCCGAAATTCAAACCGACCTGGGTTCGGACCCGTATCGCCAAGGGCCCTTTTGGGTCCGTCCTAGACCCGCGTAGCAAGTGGGTCCAGAAGTGGAACAGGGTGCTGCTGTTGACACGCGGCATCGCGCTGGCGATTGATCCCCTTTTCTTCTACGCATTGTCACTGTCGATTGGGAAAGGCGGGGCCCCTTGTTTGTATTTGAATATTGGGTTCGCAGCAATCGTGACCGTTGCTCGCACGTGCGCGGACGCGGTCCATCTTTGGCATCTATGGCTGCAGTTCAGGCTGGCGTACGTGTCGAGGGAGTCGCTTGTTGTTGGGTGTGGAAAACTGGTGTGGGACGCACGTGCCATTGCCTCTCATTATGTGAGGTCGATTAAAGGATTTTGGTTGGATGTTTTTGTCATCCTGCCAATCCCTCAGGTTAGTTCAGTTGCTTTAATTTATTGGTTGCCCTTATCTTATTTGTTTTGGTTATTTAAGCAAATCACTAATTGAGATTTGGTCTTTAACAATATATATCAAAATTTTGTGGTTGTTAAGTAAATACAATAACAAATATTGTCGAGATATCTGCTATTGCCGAGACATAATTAATTATTATTAGTAGTAGTAATAGTAGTATTATTTTCATAGATAGAAATTTTGCAACTCACTCAGTGAGTTTTTATATATTAGAAAGTTAGTGTTAATAATTAATAATTAACAAAATAAAAAAAAGATCATATTAATATGACGAATTGAATTAATCGCTACTACAAAAACGAGAGAATTGTTCTAGCCTTCTCTTTGTAATTGAGCTTCTTTTTAAAAATAAATTAATTAATTAAAAAAAAGATTTGAACTCGTAACATATTATAAATACAAAAAAACTCACTATTACTATATTAAAAGCATATTGGTGAGACATAATTATTTACATAATCATAAATAATGTAATGTGATTTATATTTGAGAATATTCTAATCTCTAGTTCTTAAAATCTTATATATATATATATATAACATTGGAAGGAGATTATATCCGTGGGCATCAATGTGAAAGTGTTACATTCACTTGCCAATGTATTTTATAAAGGGAATATATTTGTTTCTATACGTACATAGAGAAACAAAGAGAATTATTATGTTGATAAGCGATAATGAAATGAGTTAGATAAAATTATTATTTGATACCTATGTTTTTTTATTAAATAATTAGTTAATTTTATTGTTTTAAAAATACTTAATATTAATTCTCTAGATTTTTATATGTACTTGTAGCTTAGCCTTTCCGCTGTTTTTTCATGCTGATTTAATTGTGCTTTTTCTTCAAATAAAATTAAAAATACATTTAAATATATAGTCTAAAAAAGAATTAATACTATCAACTTGGTCAATGACTAACTTTATATTTTCAAATCATAAACAAGACAATAATAAATCATTGCAAGTGATGATCCAACTTCATAAGTTTTCTAATTAGAAGATTATGAGTATGAGTTGAAGAAAATGAGGGCGAAGTGCAATTTTTTTCAAAAGAAAAAATATTAATTTGTAAAATTAGTATAATACTGAACTTTTATATGTGTGTGTGGGTGCACGTGCATCTAATTTTTTTCATTTAATTTGCAGGCAATATTTTGGTTAATGGTGCCAAAATTCATAAGGGAAGAAAAGATTAAGCCTGTGTTGACAATGTTATTAACGACTTTCTTATTCCAATTTCTTCCCAAGGTCTACCATAGCTTTTGCTTGACTAGAAGAATGCGAAAAGTGACAGGTTATATATTTGGCACAGTTTGGTGGGGTTTTGGCCTCAATCTTGTTGCTTACCTAATTGCTTCTCATGTGAGTCTAATTCAATCTCTCCAAAGAAATGAATCTTTAAGCTTCATACATGTGACCTTATTGTTGAATTTTCTATAGGTCACAGGCGGATGTTGGTATGTTCTTGCAACAGAGCGTGTTATGACATGTCTCAAGAAACAGTGTGAAAGAAATGGAAACTGCAATCTCACTTTGCAATGCTCGATAAACGTTTGCTATCAGTTTATGTATCCAGCAGATAAATTTGGAAACCCTTGTGGAAGTAACTCAACATTGATCGCTAAACCATTGTGCTTGGATGATGAAGGACCATTCAATTATGGAATTTATTCACCAGCTCTTCTAGTTGTTTCTAGCAATTCTCTAGCAGTCAAGATCCTTTATCCCATTTTCTGGGGTTTGTTAAACCTTAGCTCTTTCGGCAATGAACTCGCTCCTACAAGTAGCTTGCTAGAAGTGATGTTCAGCATATTCATTGTGTTGTGTGGCCTCAGTCTATTCACTTTATTGATAGCAAACATCCAGGTAATAAAATTATTGACAGCTTTTGAATGAATATAAAAGAATACTAAGAAAATTGATGAACTTTTATTGCTTGATATATAGGTATTTTTGCATGTGGTCATGGCAAAGAATAAAAAGATGCAGCTAAGACGTCGAGACGTGGAATGGTGGATGAGGAGAAGACAGTTGCCTTCTAGTTTAAGACAAAGATTTCGACATTTCGAACGTCAAAAATGGAGAGTCATGGGAGGATCAGAAGACGAGATGAATTGGATTGAAGAATTACCTGAAGGACTCCGGAGAGACATCAAACGCTATCTTTGCCTAGACCTCATCAAAAAGGTAGCACAACATCCGATCTTAAAGTGTTTTGCAAATGAAAATTGGCTTCAAATACATCATCAAATTGGTATTTTTAAAGATGCATGCCTTCTAAATAATATAATAATGAAAGATTTATGAAATAATTCTTAAGCTCTTGTAGAGAAACCCGCATCTACATTCTAACTGCAATTTTCCTTTCCTGACGTACTCTAGGTACCTTTATTTCACAACTTGGATGATCTTATTCTTGATAACATCTGTGATCGGATCAAGCCCTTTATCTACTCCAAAGATGAAAAGGTTTAAGATCATATATTTAAAAACATTTTAAAACTTTTTTGAGAAGAGAATTGAATTGAATTGCTATGACGTATTAATTTGTTGAACTTTTTCTTGTCCCTATTAACAGATTTTAAGAGAAGGAGACCCTGTGCTGAGGATGATTTTTATTGTGCAAGGACAAGTGAAATATAACCAATGCCTTAGTAAAGGCATGGTAGCCACAAGCGTGCTTGAACCAGGAGGGTTCTTAGGTGATGAGCTGCTCTCCTGGTGCCTTCGTCGCCCATTTATAGACCGCCTCCCAGCCTCATCTGCAACTTTTGTTTGCATGGAATCAACAGAAGCATTTGGTCTAGATGCGTATGATCTAAGATATGTCACAGAACATTTCAGGTACAGATTTGCTAGCAAGAGACTTAAGCGAACAATGAGATATTACTCATCCAATTGGCGAACATGGGCAGCCGTGAACATACAGTTTGCTTGGCGACGATACAGGCTGAGGAAAAATGGTCTGGCGATTCCTGACATGGTAAATGGAAGCATTGAGAACCGTCTTCGGCAGTATGCTGCAATGTTCATGTCGCATAAGCCGCGTGACCACCTTGAGTGAATGAATGGCTTTAATGAGATCTAGTTTTCTTTGAACACTAAATCTTCTCTTAAAAATCATGGAAATAATTCATCTTGTAAGTTCAGGAATAGAAACAGCTTAAGAGCTTGTGCTATTCTATTTTTCTTCCCCTTAAGAGGGAGAGGTTTTAATGATCGAACATAAGACATGCTTATAACCAATCCATACACCTTCCTTGTGTGATCCCCAATCCATTAATATTGTTGTCTTTCTGTTGTTGATTGGATCGATTGAACTCTTATATAATTGTAGTCAAATAAGGTCAATTAAGCCAATTAACAAGATTTTGAACGCTAGAAACTAATCTATTAACGAGCATGCATATAGATGAGGATCATCTACTTCATCTTTAACTTAGGGGAAAAAAAAAAGTTTGAATGGAGCTTTTTATTTCCTAATTGATAAATAAGAAATATCTACTTTTAAGCATTTCAATAGTTTAATTATTGGTCTTAAGTTATACTCATTCTATTAGGATTTGTTAATAATTAATTTCATTAAATAGCACGCGAAACTCACATGTGCTCCTTCTATCCCGAGACACGGGTGTGCCTCCTAAGCTTGCTTCACTAACCATGGCCGATTGCAAGAATCTAAGACAACCAATATTACCCTGTGTTTGGATAGGGAGGAAAGTGAAGGAGAGGAAAGAAAATAGGAAGGAAAGAAATGTTTTCCTTCGTTTGCCCTGTGTTTGGATAGAAAGAAAAGTGAAAGAGAGGAAAGAAAATAGGGAGGAAAGAAATGTTTTCCTTCTTTTGGTTTCGAAAGGAAAGCGAGTGGAAAGAAAGAAAAAATAATAAAAAAACATAAAATAGGTGGGACCCATTTTCCTCTCAAAATTGGGAGGAAACTGGGAGGAACCGCACGGCAATGACATCCGAATATAGACATTCTCATTTTTGCCCTCATCCGCCTCATTCGTCTCTCTCCATTTCTCTTAGAGAGAACCAGATTACGATGAGGCTTAATTCGCAAAGTTTATGGCATCTTGGTCGCTCGGCTTGCCCTCATCACCATCATCTCTCGCTGTTACAGTTCTTTATACTCCCATGATCGATCTCCTCAAGGGCAGTTTTGGATTTGTTTTGCTTCTATCAATTTTGCCCTTTATTTGTAAGTACTCACAATTCAAGATCTCTCGCTTTCCTTTTGCTTCTTTCTTTTTCCTTTCTTGATTTGTTTATTTGCTTTAAATTCCATGTTTTAGGATTTTTTTTGTTTGGGGTTGAAGATTCAAACTTGAAATTGGGTTTATGTTTTCTTGATCCGTATTTTTTTTTCTTGATTTATCTGAAATTTTGAGACTTAGGGTTAAAATTGAAACTTGAATCGGAGCCTCCGGGTATCTTGTTAAAGTTGATGTTTGAAATGATTTAATAGATCATTGGCTCAATTCAATCACTTGCAAAAGGATTGTGAATTTGCATATTTCTTGGAAATTTTATGCTTTTTTTGTGGAGACGATTCTAAAAGAAATTTATTAGATGGATCTTATGGAGATGATATACTTGGTTTACTGATTGATGCCTTAAAAACTACCACTAAGAATCTCAAGTTACGCATGGACGAAGTCATAGATGAGAGCAGCAATTCTTTTTTTCTGACCAGGAGTTCACTGCCAATCTATTAAGTTGGACCATATTCTTGTTGAGCTTACATCAAGAATGGCAATAAAGAGTTAGGGAAGAGGTGCTAAGGGAATGCAGGATGGGAATTCCTGAAGCTGATGTACTTACCAAGTTGAAAGAGGTACACTATATATGCAGTATTAATATTCCTCTTAATTTTAAACTATATATGCAGTATTAATATTAAGTACTATAGCAAAGCATATATAGTTTTAAATTAATGATTGATGAAGGGTCTTTTATTTAATTTGCAGGTGAACATGGTTCTTCTTGAGACTTTGAGGCTATATGGTGCAGTAATGGATATGGATAGAGAGGCAGCAAAAGATAGGAAATTAGGGAATTTGATGATTTCAAAAGGTGTACGTGTAACAATTCAATTTGTGAAGATTCATAGGAGCAAGGAATATTGGGGAGACGATGCAAACGAGTTCAATCCATTGAGGTTCAAGAATGGAGTATCTCAAGCTGCAAAACACCTAAATGCTTTCATCGCCTTTGGATTTGGTTTGAGAGGTTGCATTGGTCAGAATTTAGCGATGCTAGAGATGAAAATGGTGCTTTCATTATTGCTTCAACAATTTTCTTTTTCCCTCTCTCTAGAGTATAAGCATGCACCGGCTAATCATTTGAATTTGCAGCCACAATATGGAGTCCCTGTTATTGTGAAACCTTTCCTTCTTTCAAAATAATAGCCTAATTCCTTGGCAATACCTCTAAATTTGCCAGATTATTAGCTATTGTTGAATGAACTTCTTCATTATTAACCTATCTTCTTTTCAGAGAGAAAAAATATCTCTTGAAATGATTTAATAAGCTCTTTTTTGTGGATTGCTAAATAGTAATTTTTTAATCCAAAAAAAAAAAGCTGAGAAAATGATGAATAAAAGAGCTTATTAATCTAAATTGGTTATTGAATTAATTAATTTTATATGCATAGATGATAATATATGTTATACATATTTAAATTAATTTTATGTTGATAATTAATTTAAATTGGCTATTGAATTAATTAATTAGTAAACGAGTTATTGATTATTCTATGGAGATGATTCATTATCCATCTTGTCATTTTAGATAGATATTACATACTAAATTTTTATTTTATTATCATTTGTACAATTTTAATAAAATATTCATACAAATTTATTATAAATATTTAAATATATAAATATAATCATAGGGGTATTATAGTAAATATACAATAATATTTTTTTCTTTCTTCTTTATATAATTATCCAAATAAGAAAAATATACTTTTTTTCTTTCATTTCTACTCTTATCCAAACAATAAATGAAAAATAATTTTCTTTTCGTTTTTTTTTTTTTCAAGAGAAAATATCCAAACAAAGAGTTAGAGTGGAGACTCTATAAACTCACTTCTCTTGGACGACTCAAAATCTCTGCTACAACAGGTGATGATGGTCTACTGCTTCCCACTTCGCTAACTTTTCTTCATATCTATAATCGAAAGAAACTCAAATCCATATCCAGTGCCATCTAACACCTCTCTTGAAGAATTATGGTTTCATAATTGTCCTCAACTCCCAAAGGAGGGCTTCCCTGCGGCATTTGGACTTCTAGAAATCATCAATTGTCTTCTTCTGAAAGAAAGGTGCTTAAGAGAGGACCGGGTTTATTGGCCACCATTGCACACATCCCTACTGTTATCGTCTCACCATAAATAAAAGCCAAGAGAGATTCTGCGATACAAAATGGAAACAATTTGTTTGGTTTATTTACTTTGTTTATTATTAAATTTATGAATTAAATTGTTAATATTATTTTTAATACAATTTTTAATACTTTTTTCTCAATAATCGTATTAGTAATTTTAAAAAAATTATAAAAATAATAATTTGATTAATAAATTATAAAAATAAGAATTTGATTAATAACTTCACCGATATCCATTTGCTTTCTTTCACTTTTATTTTTTGATGTTAGATTTCTTTAAAAAATAATAATAATAATAATAATAATAATTTGATTAGGCATTCAATTTGACACCCACTAATAAATGATAACCGTTCCATTGGAGTTTAATTATAAGAATATGCCTTGTAACACAAGGAACTAGTCTTGAAAGCCACGAGAATTTAATGTTAACGAAGTTAAAATTTAGAAAGGAAAAAAAAAATGTTATAGGAAAAGTTGTGACTCTATATGAAAAATCTTTTTCTTGAAGCTGTCATTAAAAGTTGACAGATTTGATCTTTATATCTAGACTTTGAAGGGAAATTTTATCCATTGATCAAAGTGGATCAGAAACCAGGCATCTTGGACTTTCCAACAATATATTACTATGCATGTCAAGTCATATTATCGTTAGATGGGGTTTATGAGGTACTGGTCAGAATCATTACGTGTCAGTTCACGAGTTAACGATGCAAAAACATGACTCATGGAATAAGGTAAGATATGAGGGCCCAATCGTAACGATGGTGACATGCCACGATGATAGCTGAGTTGTACCTACGATTTGCGGCTTCATTTTTTTTTTTAATTATTCTTATTTTCTATTTTATCTATTTACTTTATTTTCTTTTTAGAATTTTGACAAGGCTGTAAACTTTGAAAGATGATGCAGTTCTTTCTTAACTAATGTAATTATTAAGTTTGTTGATAGGTAGAAATCAAGCTAACTAAAATACTTGTAAAAGTAGTTTTTTTTTTATGGGATATAGGATTTTTCGATAACAAAATTAGTATGTAGAGGATTATGATGGCCTAGAAACACATTGATTTCAGTATAAAAGCAATGATAAATAGTATAAATATTGATCAAAAGTTCTTTTAAAAGAAGAAAATTTAGATTGTTTTACCTTAAGTTTGATAGCTATATATAGTAATGAGACTTGTCAAGTTGCATTAAAAAAAATGATAAAATTATCTATCTCTTTGCTACCAACACCTTTTGATTTTGATTAAGGGATAAGTGTACATGATGTTGATAGGTTACTCGTTGAATGAATAATATGATGTCATGGTTGTTGTCGATTAGATAAAAATAACCTTAAGAGCATATCTTTATTTAATAAATGTATTTTACGTCTTCTTAGTTGGTGGAGGGTTAACACGAGAGTATGACCCATTCAAACTTAGGTTATTAATTGAGCCATATTTTCTAGTTCAATTGATTATGACCAAAATTTATGTAGTTTTGTTTTAGGCAACCTACTTGTTTATATACATGATGTTAATGGATTACTATTAAATGAATATAATGATATTATGGTTATTGTCGATTAGATAAAAGTAACCTTGAGAGCATACCTTTATTTAATGAATGTACTTATATATCTTCTTAGTTGGTGGAGGGCTTAACACGAGAGTGTGGCCCATTCCAACTTAGGTTATTAATTAAACCAAATTTTCTAGTTCAATTGATTAGGACCAAACTTTATGTACTTTTGTTTTAGGTTACCTACTTTTATTTATATAGCGGGGTTTTAAATCTCGTTAAAATCAATCAAAACTATGGCTTACGAGTGCATAGAAACTTTTGACCTTATGTAATTTAGAGCTAGAATTTTGGGATTTATTAATGTATGAGTTTGAGACTTCACCTTCTTGATTCTTAGAGCGATAATTTCAGCCGGTAACATAACAAAGACTTTAGAGTATTCAATTTGTTCAAAATTGTACAAAACCAAAGTCAACTTGGTATTAAATTTTTGGTTGTTTCCACATGTCTTTAATAATGTTTTATGATGATGCCTCTAAAACGATATCAAAACTAAATGAATCCGGCTAATATGTAAAAGAAGTTGGAGCTTTTAAGATAAAGGAATGAAAAGCTTGAACATATGGTTTAAGAGGCAAATAGTCGAGAGTCTAAAGGTGGTGATGAAGAGGAGGTTCATGGGAAAAACCATTTTCAACAATTGTAAACTGTTTCATCCTCTAAAACGAGAGGATTCATGCAACTTGGAAGTGTGGTGAGGAGACCACAACAACATCATCATGATTTTAATGCCATGATATTATGAAGTTATCATTAAAAGTGAAACAACATCAAAAGTCAACAAGATGGTAAAGAGGATGAGTTTAGGCTTGGAAAACCTAACCCCGTTATTTAGATTTGACTAGGGTTTCTAACTCTATCCAGATAGGAGACAACAATAAAGAGAAAACACTTTGAGTGGTGTTAACAAAACAAACACAGCAAGATCCAATAATAATTTATGAAGGAGTTCTAAGTGCCAAAGGATTGGGCACATTGCTTAAAATTGCTATAATCAAAGGGTAATTAGCTTTATGAAAGAGACTCGAATAACTTAAGGTTAAAGATGGTTCGACCAAGAAGTTAAAAGTAGAGATATATTGTTGGTTCGAAGAGCTTTTAAAGCTGAAATTAAGCAAAAGGAATTATGGCTTAGGTATAACATCTTTTGTTCTCAATGCATATTTTATTGAAGATGTGCAACTTGACCATCAATGAGGAAAGTTATGAGAATGTGGTTTTGATGATAATGGTGAAAAAGTTTAACTTACCAATTGTTGATTATTCTATTAATTCTTACAAGGAAGTTTGATTGAATAGAGGTTACGATATTCGGGTGACTAAGAGGTGCCTTATGCAATTCTTAATAGGCAAAAGGTATCAAGATGATGTGTGGTGTGCTAAAATTTTTATAGATGCATGCAAGACCATAGCAATACAATAGATGAGTTATGCATGATGGGCTCAAAAACATATATTTGTTTGATTTAAAAGGTTAAAATATTTTGCTTATGCCTACGAAAAAGGTGCTTTTAGTCAAGAGTAGCGAGAGAGGAGTTAATTTGCAAGTTTTTCTTTCTTAGGGCATTGGAGAGGTATGGTGGTACTAAAAGAGAGGTTGATATTGCTAGCTTAAATGGTGTCAACCATATCTAAACTTTTAGCCAAGAAAAAGACATGAATGTTTTCTTTAAAGATGTCACAAGTGCCAAAACTTCTAACCACAAAGTCAACAATATTTACTTCATCAAGTGATTTGAGAGACCAAACAATTCCACATGATGTAATTACTCCAAAAAGAAGTTAGATTATAATAAAGATAAAAAGTAGAATCTCCATGAAGACATCACTCGTCCAAAATGTTATAACATGATTAGGAGGCAAAATGAAGATTGTATAGGCATGTGGGGTTGTAATGTTTTATTCTAGCAAAGAAAAAATAATAGTGGATTATGGAGAAAAAGGATAGCAAAAAAAGTTATCAAGTAGTGTTATTGTTAACAATGACGATGAAATCAATTCAGAATTAACCAAAAAAAAAAAAGGCTTTTAAAGCTTTATTAATGCAAAGTGACCCAAGAAGAGTGGTTAGCCATGAATTGTGTTAGAATAAAGCAAACTAAAGCGCTTGAAGGTGCTATTTCTATAATAAAGAAGAAATTTACAAGCAAGACGGGATGAAATTTTAAGTCTGTAAAGATTGTTACGTTATCAAAATATGTAAAATGGCATCACTCTTTCAACAATATGTAAAAATGGTTGCATCGGTTTTCAAGAAAGAGAAAGAGATAGTTGATGTTGTGAAAGAAAGATATAATAATCATATAACAACCTTTTTTTCAAGTAATTTTTAAACACTAATCATTATCCTTCGAAGAAAATATAGAAGACTTCTTCGATGTCATAAGAAAAATTAAAGGTGAAACTACCTTACTATTTAAACATCGGATTGCAAACAACTTGCAC